TCGTTTCGCTGGCTGACTTCTGTCGCCTAACTCGAAAACACCCCTGGACCCTGCCACCTCCCTTTACCTTTAATCTTTATCAATCCATCCAGCCGAGCCGGAATCGAACCAAGGAACGGACGGCGCCGCACATTATTCACGCCCGATAGCTCCTCAACCCCTCCGCTACGTCCTTCCAGCTTCACCTTCCATCACCGACGCCACCCCTTCTTCTCACTCCCCTTTTTTTTCTCTCTACCTAAACTACTTTTCCCAGAGTTCGCCAACGACTTATTCCAACGATTCGCGACACCGGCTATACCAGGCGACAAAGATTTGTCAATTTGGAGAATTTGGGATTCTTTCAGAATCGTCTAATACGTAGTGTTGCAGCATCTTTTTGAAAAGTTCGTGAATCATCTCTTGGTGTGACAATAGTAACGTTAATACAGTAACTTATTGTAATATACACTTAATAACTTGATGTAATATAGTAACATTAATATTACGTTGTAACTTACTATATTTTACTTACTAATATTGTAACTTACTACAAGTAATGTAATATAGTAACTTACTATATGTAATATAGTGACATTAATAATATAGTAATATAGTAATAGTATCTTTGTAGAATTATTGATCGAAAAAATTGAAAAAAGATAATTTAAATAGACATTTTTCAAGAATAATCTTCTTCTAAAAATGTACCTGTTCGTTTGGAGAGGAGTTTAGAGAGGAAATAGGCGTACAGGTAGGTGGAGTCTTGTATACAGGGGTAACCAATAATCGCCACACCTACTAGTCACTATTCTCTTTCGTTTCTTTACCTGAAATAGAATCAGGTGGATTTACGAAACGTAAAGATCTACAGTATATACATATATATCTACTAATTCTCAAAGCATTCCAATTTGTCTATAACCCATAATCTCTCTTTATGTAACAAAAAGAGAAGAGACAAATGAGAGTACTAAAAATAAAGATTGCTATTTCAGTCTTCTCTTTTAGGTTATCAATTTTTGTATCATGAAATATTTGTAACAAAAATGTTGTATCATTTATCAATATTTGTAATAAAAATCATAATAAACTGAACTTAACAAGCCTTTTAAACAAATTAAATTCCTGTATCAAGTCCTCTATACATTAATTTGAATTTGTGATTAAGTTTTGATATTTGTCACTAACGTTGGTGGTTGCGACAAAGTTTACAAATCCATCATTTGAAATTCTTGCTAGAGATATAAGATTTGTACCATCGTACTTGTAGATACCATAATACCGTAGAATACTTTATTACCTTCTTTGTTCGTCACGGTATTCTCCAACATTTTCGAACATCTTTTTAAACTGTTAAAAAAATGCGACGGTTACGTTAACGTTGTTTTACGCAGTCGTTCCACAGTTATGTATTCCGAAAGTCATCCGCGTCGTCTCATTCGTGTGATCTCTAACCAACAAAACTCGAACCGAGGTTCAACCAATCAAAAACGCGATCAGCATTAAACGGCACTAAACGGTTTTTTGAACACACTTGGAAACTGCCAGTAGGAAAACCTGCGTATTTTGTCCAGAATTTTGTAATTTTGTCTAATTTCGCACGTTTGCGAATTTTACTTCCGCTCCAAAACTACGATATCCCATAAAATCGTAGAAATCGCACGTTCGACGGGATTCGAGAGGATTCATCGCCGAATCGAAATTAGCTCGGTGAAATTGGAAAAGTGTTAATAAATATGACCGTTCGAACGGACCTATCAGCGTTTCGCAAGCGAGACCCGTGATTCCTTGCGCGTTGGAGTTCAGATCAAGGTTTTCTGATCGGTCGTCGTAGTTTGAGGAGGTGAAAAAAAGTGTGGCGGTGCTTTCGTTCGATATTCTTTATGAGATCTTACATTTAACGGTTGGCTCCTGAATTTCTTTCGCAGCCGTAAGTAACGAGAGCTTGATTATCTCGCGTTGTACATAAAAGCCTTTGTGAAAGTGATACTATGATTGTGGCATACATGCAAGAAATCGAGACGATTCCAGACGAACGTCAGTCTTTCTGTTTGCCCGTCGATGCCAAAATGTCTAATCTAGCGTGATCTATTGTAGAGGATAGAACGTCTCGTAAATAAACACGTAGTATCGTTCGAACCTGCAGATTTTATCGCATCCTGATTTGGAACTGTAGTATCTTTGTGACTACACCCCATCCCCGAATATCGTCGCTGAATTAATACCTAACCCTCAATAGCCCATTGTCAAGCAGCTTCGAGGTATTCCTAGAATCCATCGACGATTTCGCTACGTATTACATACGGAACAATTTTCACGCATTTTTCATCGATCTCATCTAAGTTTCTAAATAAACGTATCTCGATCTGATCGTATTGTTGTACGAATATCATAATTGTTATTTTTATGTAGCAGTTCCATCTACCGTACTACGTACATATTTTATAGCGCTATATATTATAGTAACGATTTTTTTTTTTTTAAATTAAGTATCGTTGATATTGATGAGTAAGTCAAACATGTTTGCAAATATGTTTCCTTTGTAGTATAACATATATAACACAATGTAAGGTGTATATATGTGCAGATATTTCATAATATCTGTGATAATATGTAGATGTTAGTGGGTTAATTAAAGAATTTGATAATAGAATTATCTTCGAAAATATATGTGCTACCTTTAAAATACATAGTAATGAGTAAAAAGATTTAATAACGAATCCATTGAATTTAAATTTAATTTTAACTTTTTATATGTTTTTGTAAAAAAATTTCATATTTCTCCTATTAAGAGAAATTACGTTTATATAATAAACAAAACTGCGTATAACTTCATTAAAGGATAAAAATATCTAACATGTTCAGTAATATTCATATATTATGATTGAACTATAACATTATGGCTTTACTTTCGAATATTTTTTAGATGTCAGCCGCAACTACACACAAATACCGTTACAAAAATGTGGGCTTAGACTCACAAGAACTAAGACGGCGTAGAGAAGAGGAAGGTGTTCAGTTAAGAAAACAAAAAAGAGAACAACAATTATCAAAGAGACGTAATGTTCCTAACATAGTTACTGCTGATGATGACAATGTTACAGCAAATGAATCTGCTTTTCCTGCACCACAATCAGTAAGTTCAAATTGTGAATATAACAATAAATTTGTAAAATGTTTAATTAATTTAACCATCAAATTACTATTTAAACATATTTTATTTCTGTTGCAGAAAACCTCTATTATTGTACTCGAAATGGTGCAAGAATTGTACAGTCCTAATCCTGAAGATCAATTGGCAGCTACACAGAAGTTTAGAAAAATGTTGTCCAGAGAACCAAATCCACCGATAGATGAAGTTGTAAAAACTGGAATTGTACCTAAATTCGTTGAATTTTTGCAGAATAATGCAAATTGTACATTGCAGGTTTGTGAGTTGTAAATCGTTTTTGAAATACGTAATGTAATTTCATACAAAGTAATAAATATTTGGAATGAAAATATTATAGTTTGAGGCTGCTTGGGCTTTAACGAATATAGCAAGTGGAACGTCCCAACAAACGCGTGTAGTAGTGGATGCGGGAGCTGTACCAATTTTCATATCATTACTCAGTTCTGAATATGAAGATGTTCAAGAACAAGCAGTTTGGGCATTGGGCAATATTGCAGGAGACAGTGCTGAATGTAGAGATCATGTATTAGACAATGGAATCCTTACTCCTCTTCTGCAGTAGGTTTCAAGTTTCCTTACTTTTGCTTAAATACATAGGATGTACAATTCGTTCTTCTCTTCTTCTTTCTCTGTTATAGATTACTTTCTAAAGCGACACGTTTGTCAATGACACGTAATGCGGTATGGGCATTATCAAATCTTTGTCGAGGCAAGACTCCACCACCGGAATTCTCGAAAGTTGCACCGTGTTTGCCAGTTTTAGCTCATTTTCTTAATCATACGGATAGTGATGTTCTCGCAGATACTTGCTGGGCTCTCTCCTACTTAAGTGACGGACCAAATGAAAAAATTCAAGCAGTTATCGATGCAGGTGTATGTAGACGATTGGTGGAATTACTCATGTACGTATGTAAATTATATTTGATAACATACAATTTTCTACCGAAATGATAATGTAAAATTTTGGGGCGCTAGGCACCAACAAGAGAATGTAATCAGTGCTGCACTTCGAGCAGTGGGTAATATAGTTACCGGTGACGATGTGCAAACACAAATCGTTCTTAATTGTTCTGCATTGCAATGTTTGTGTCATCTGTTGAATTCGTCGCAAGAAAGTATTCGCAAAGAAGCTTGTTGGACAATCTCTAATATTACGGCAGGAAATCCTCAGCAAATTCAAGTTTGTATATGTTTCTTAAGAATTTAAAATTTAGCGATAAAATGTTTTTCTTATTAAAAAAACAGGTGGATTTTGTTCGAAACAGGCTGTCATCGATGCCGGTATATTCCCGATCCTGATTGAAATTTTAGCGAAAGCTGAATTTAAAATTCGAAAAGAAGCGGCATGGGCAATCACTAATGCTACAAGCGGCGGTGCACCTGAACAAATACGTTATATTGTTGTTGAAGGATGCATTCCACCGTTATGTAATTTGTTAACAGTAATGGATCCCAAGATTGTTCAAGTTGCATTAAGTGGTTTGGAAAATATTTTGCGTGTAGGAGAACAAGATGCTGCCACGAATAATGGTATCAATCGTTATGCGGTACTAATCGAAGAATGTTTCGGTAAGCACGAAGTTAAAAAATATAACTTATTTGATTAAAACGTCACAGGAAAATTTTACCATAAACGATTGTAATATTTCAGGCCTAAACAAAATAGAATTTTTGCAATCTCACCAAAATGTAGACATCTATCAGAAGGCCTTCGATATAATCGAACGATATTTCGGATCTGAAGAAGAAGATACTCGAGTTGTACCCACCATTGATGCGCAGGGACAACAGTTCCAATTCAGAGCGTCCGATTCATCTCAGCTACCAGTTGAAGGCTTTGACTTTTAATTGACTAGTTTTAATGGAACCTTTGATTGTATCACCTGATTCAATCTTGTTTCGTTCGTTATGTTTACGATCATTTTTTCTGAAAAGGACATTTTGAAAATGAAGGAAAAATCAGTCAGATGCAGAACAGTGGTATATTTATACATACTTTGAATTTATTTGTATCGATCAGAATATCAGTAAAAAAAAAAATCTTGAAGTGATCAGATTTTTGCTCGACGATAAAGATGAGTAAAATGTTTATACGCAGTTATTTTAAGTTGTTTTCTCTTATTATTTTAGCTACACCATACGCATCGTTCTAAGTTTAGTGCAGAAACACGATTATGTTTATTACGAATCTATACCGAATTGTGACAATTCTTTCAATTTGTAAGTTTTGTAGCAATTCGAATAGATAATGTTCGAACTCATAACATAAACCGTATTTAGTATGAAACGTTTAGTTTATTGGAATTAACAAATTAAATATCTTAGTGCTTAAGTAGAAACAAATAATTATGGAAACAATGATCAGGACGATTTACTACTGAGGTAAACCTATACCTCAAACGACGTACGACTGACTCAGAATTACGGAAAACTTGCACAACTGGCAAGACATTAATGACTGAAGTACGCGACTACGTAGCCGATACAGACAACATTACGCAACGCGTTACTCACATCCTTACTACATTAGGTAGGAACATGACCAATTAAACTTTTTTACTGTAAATACGTATCTTGTAATTTTGAGGCTATTTTATACAGAATGTCCTTAAGAAAAGAAGTAATATTTATGTTAAATAAATGTAATTTCTAATCTTTGACAGTACATATAAGATATTTTTACATATTAAATATTTTACTCAATCTTGGTATAGATGCATTGCTAGAATATTTTTTTTTTTTTATAATAAATTACGCGAATTTTAATATATTTCTCTCAAATTGAAAAATTTTGAAAATACGATTGTACATAATTATGTTTAAACTTTTTAAAATTTAAATTTCCCATTCTTTTAAACTTAACTTTCTAAAGTAAGCAATATTTAAATTATTCTAATAATAAATATTTTAAAAGTATATTTATATTTTGTTGATAAAGAAACAAATTTTTCGTACTTATCGTAAAGCTCGACCCTATACGTAATTGTATTAAATTCTGGATATTCTGTATAAAAAGTCTGTGACTGTATAAAATGTATTTATTATTTAGGTTTGACGGTACCATGCTATATTATGCAAGATATATAAATATATATAAATATATATATTACCTACTTTTAGTTACGGACTTATTACGACAGAGGAGGACTGTATTATAAGCAACTTGTAAGCTATCATTTTGCTAATGATATTTTAGCAAAATGTGTACTTGCGAGCATTTGTTGCCAATTTATAAAATGCTTATCAAATAGGATATAAGCATATTGAAAAAAAAAATTTGCCATCTTATGTTACGCACGTTATTCTTAAATGAACAAAAGTTAAAATATTTTAAAATATTACCATTAAAGAAATTATGCATAAATACTTGTTTGCGATTATATGATTTCTTTGATCTTCCTCAAGTATACATATATATGTAAATGTATCATTTACGTAAGCTATAAAATTTTGATACGAAATAATTATTATAATTTTGTAACTTATTTCAACGATATATTCGATAAGGAAACTAAAGTCCGTGGGGACAAATCATTTAAAAATTTTTATATAAGTTTGCAAAAATATATTTCATGTTCTTTCCGCTATAAGTGAGATAAAAGAACGAAGATCTATTGGAGCGATTCCATTTGTGATACAATATAGAAGAAACGCATTGTAAATTGGCAATTGAAGACATAATCATACGTGGACGAGGACAGACATGTTGCACTATTAAGATACAATCACAATATGACATGTATGAAGCAAATCTATCCATTGTACTTTACTTTAAAGTTGTATAAACATGTCATTCAAGAGCATAACTGAAATCATGCCAGAGGCATCGATCTTGTTGTTATATTTTTTGAAAATTTGTAGAAACCGCCAAATCCATTGGAAATCTTTATCTGAAAATGTTGATTTTCTGTACTGTCACTTGACGTAATAAAATAAAGTTGAATATTAATATACAAAAGCTTTTATTTACTCACTTTGTTTAATATATGAATATAAATACTATATAATATATTCTACAGTAGCAAAATTATGTATATCACATTTTGTCAACATTGTTATATCGCTTTATCATTACAATTATTATTCTGTTAGTTAAATATATCGTTTATTAAAAGTTTATAGTTTGTAGAAAAAGAACAATCTGCATAATTGAAATTTGTACTTGATTCTGGTAAAATAGGCACAATAATTCCATCTGTAAGCCTAGTTATTAGAGGATCTAGAATATCTTTATCCACATAATTTGATAGTCTTTTAAATATTTGCTTTTCAATAAATTCTAATTCTCCTTGGGATGGTTTATATCCATCAACAATTACTGTTATTATGTACATAGCATTCTCAACTAAAGGATTTTCTCTGTCACAAAAATTGTGGAAAGCTTTCAATGCCTCAGTATTTATATTCAATAAATCTTGTATTATCTGAAAAAAAAAATTTCCTCTTGATAGAATATCATTGTTTTTAAATATAAATTCTATTTAAGAAACAAGAATAAATTATATAAATACTTACTATTACTTTTTTTTGTGTGATTGGTTTTTTTAGTCTATAAATAACTTGTCCAACATCATTTGGAAAGTCTTTTGGTGTTAATATTAAATAATCGTTACTACCTAAAATTTTGCCACTTAATTGTCCAAGTAATCGAGCTAAGCAATTCAAAGTTTCAGTTTCATTTCCAAACAAAATAATAATTGAAGGTTTTGCAGGAAACAAGACTACATCATATATTCCAGCTGATATATCATTCCAAATGTTAGATTTTTGATTATGAAATTGTGTTTGGATCAAATGTACTGATTTATCTAATAAATTATTTATCTTGGTTATATCTTTCTGTTTTTCTTCGACACGTATTTCCAGAGTTTTATGAGTTTCTGCTTTAGTGTTTGAAATAATACAAGAAAATAAAAAAAATGCAATGCAACATACTATAATATACAAAAAATATTTGGGAAGAATTTTTGGGAAAAATTCTTTTTTTACAGGCTGTTTTTGCGTTTTATCTAAGAAAGAATTATTTGTATTGTTGAAAGATTGACTTTTGTTCAAGCTATGAGAACTTCGTTTGTATGCTTCTGTTACAACAGGAGAATTATGTGCAGTACTAAAAGTGTCTAGTTTTGTACTATCTTGTGAGGTGTTCAAAAATTTATGACTATTATCTTCATCATCAGTATATTCAATATCAGAAATATTACAAATTTCTGGACTTGATTGTTTAATTTTGTTCATACTTTCCATTGACAATGAACTAGATATTTTACAGAGACTAACTTCTTCAATTGCATTAGTGTCTCTTATGGATCGACGTGCTTTAGGAATAGGTGGTTTAAAAAACTCTTGGTCGTTTGGCTGAAAAGAATATTAACAATATTTCAAATGCATATGTAACATTTTGTTATACTTAATGTGTAATTAATAATTATATAGATTATAATATTATAAATTTTGTTCATATTTCATCGAATATAATGTATATTGTATGATTGTACATTATAATTGACAAAATTAAACATCTTATATTTTTCAAAAATAGTGAAACTATTAAGCTTTATGGTCTATCATCACTAATCTATGGTCTATATAAATCATTAACTTATATATTGAAATTTAATTTGTATAAATTGATATTATTTTTCAGGACAACCACTTGTTAAAGTAATTTAGATTATACCATTGTGATTGCTTAGAGATAAAAAATTTTATAATTCTAATTATTTATAATGCAGTTTTATGTATATAACCTATAAGGAACGTTTTACATTGTATAAACATATAGACGAAGTCAAATATATTTTGATTTTGTTAAATACACTGAATACTATATTAAACTATAAGTTAATTTAACAGGTTACATTGGTAACCCTGTTACTAGATATATGACATAAAAACTTAGAGCACGTGATCTGTGATACTATATATATATATATATATATATATACATATATATACTTAAACACACACTACACACACCAAATAGCATATACACAAAAATACATATATGAGAATTATAATACCATTTAAATATATTAATTATTACATTAACTTTAATGTTCTTACTAAGAAATTTGATTACAATTTTATAAAATGATTTTATGATACTAGCTTTGTAAAATTATTCAAAATAATCGTAAAACCTTTAAGTAAGAAAGCTTAGTCAGTATCATTGTAATATATTGAATGGTTCAATCCATTTTATCCTGGTACTGGATTTATTTTAAAATAACGAACTGATGTATACTCATTTCATAACTCATATAAATACACTGATTTTTAATATATTGATATCTATATTTCTCATTTACTAAACGACAGTGCTACTTACTCAAATCAAAATCAAATATAATATGTAATTCATTAGTAAGTATTGATATTTCAACTGTAGAATTATTATACCCTACAAAAACCATCAATCTTGAAAATGTTCGACATTGGTGCCACCACTGATATGCTGTGCCGACATATATGAATTGTTACGGGATGCGTCGCCGAGAAAAATCTATTTCTACAGATTTAATAAACAACCGCGAGCATTATTTGTTCGTAGACGTAACAAATACCTGGTTTCCAAGATTTAAGGAATATTTTAGAATAGTTTTATGGTGACGGCATGTGCGTCGATCCGTTAAAGAAAATTTGTCATTGGGGTCCAGTTACTGCTCTCGGTAGGTATTTCATCGAACATCAAACAAAAGAATATTTTTGTCATTGTAAACCATTAAAAAAAAATGGCGATATATTGTTTCACATACTATCAAATAGTTTTGTCAGTATGTCATTACCATGTTAAAATTGATTGAAACAGAAACGTTGTGGGAATAAACTTGACAGATAAGTGTTCCCATTTTGTTTCACGCATATCGCGGAGTGGAGTACCGCGAAATTTGAATGTACTTTCGAAATTTTAATTATCGTAATATAGTAATTTTTATAGACATTTTTATACACATGCTACTGAATATATAAATATATTGTTTAAGTTACGTTATATAAATATAGTGTTTAAGTTACTATTTACATTTATTTATATTAATATTGCATTTTTTTTGTAATACTTTTGTGTTCTAGGAATTATAAAAATAATTACTTTGATGACAATACATTGTAGTAGACAATGGTGGCCACCGCAAGAAAGTTTCTTCGGAGCAGTTAATTTTATTCTTTTCTTTTGTCTTAGTGGTTCTACTCTCTTCCATTTTATCAGTGCTATTTATGAAGGGCCTGGATTTCTTTCACTGAAATGGATGCCGGTATTACAACATATCTTTGAAAGCAGTAGAATGTTTTAGCATAGAATTTAATGTTCTTTTTTTTAGGAGAAAGCAACAGATACTCAATATTTACAATATTGTTTTGTTTGTGAAGGATATAAAGCACCAAGATCTCATCACTGTAGAAAGTGTAAGATCTCATATATAATCAGATGAATCTCATAGTATAGTTAAGTACATTGAATTTATTTCTTTTCTTTTTTTAGGTGGTCGTTGTGTCATGAAAATGGATCATCATTGTCCATGGATAAATAATTGTGTAGGACATTACAATCACTGTCACTTTACAGCATTTCTTGCAAGTGCAGTTGGTGGATGTTGTGTTTCCACATTTACATTAGTTTCTTGGGTGATGACTGTATTATCGTTGAAACCATTATCTTTTCCACCACCTTCTATATTTATTCTGATATTAGTCATTTTTAGTATTGGTTTATCAATTGGTGTTATTCTTGCTGTTGGAACATTGCTTTATTTCCAAGTAAGATTGTTATATTTTATCGCTAAATTAATGTTATTTACATAACGTGTTATTTATGCTTTTATGATATCAACTACTTTTATTTCTTTATAGCTATTATCTATAATTAAAAACAGGACAGAAATAGAAGCTTGGATTTCAGAGAAGGCTCATTATCGAAGATTTGGAACTAGAGACAAATTTATTTATCCATATTCAAAAGGATGGCGTTTTAACTTACAGCAAGTTCTCACATGGGATTGTACGCCAGTGGGTGATGGAATTCACTGGCCTGTGAGTGAAGGTTGTGACCAGTATACCTTAACGGTAATGTTATGTACATCATTTTTTAAATAAATATATTTTTTTATTATACATTCCGTGAAAATCCAACACATAATTGTTTCTGTAATATTTCAGCGGGAACAATTAGCTCAGAAAAAAGATAAACGAAAGAGAGCTAAGACTTACAGAGTTATAGAAGAAGCATACGAATCATATTTACCATTGAAACACGGTTGGGGCGTGCTTTGTCATCCACCTTGCACCGATGAACCACGCATTAAACTTAAAGTTGGAGATATTGTAATCGTAACACGATGGAGAAAGTATGTTAACATAAAAATATTATTACTTGTACAAAAGTTTAATTGATAAATTTTCTAGATATTGGTTATTTGGAGAGAAGAAGCAAAATGATGAAAACGAGAAGCAAGTACGAACTCGGGGTTGGTTCCCACGACCTTGCGCCATTGAAGTGATTGAAAACGAAGCGTACTCCTCCGCCTTAACAAAATCAGATTAAAACATTCCTGTTCTATGTAGAGATTTATAAACCATTTACGGACGTACCGTTGAACGGCAATATTTTTATCTAGTGTTTTATATGTGATGAGTGAATGTTTCTAAAATATTTTAATGGTCTAATATGGAGTAAGTTTTTTTTCGAACCACTATTTAAAATACCAGTCACTACATTTATTGTGTAAGAAGAGCATTTGATTTGCGTTTAAAGTAATTTGCACAAAGCAAGATTCCATTATATTCCTTTACTTCTTACTTCTCTTTTTATATAGAAATACTTAATAATAACGTGTAAGTATTTAAAATATATACAGAATATGAAACCTCATTATATTTTTGTATATGGAGCTTTAGTAATGAGAACTATGTTTGATATACAACCGCGTGTAAATATTTTGTCGTTATAACTGTTAGAAGTGTATTTTCCATATTTGTGCAACGGTGACTTAATTATTTATCTTCTGATATAAAAATTATAATAACATGAAATCACAATAATATTTTCCTTTGTAATTTATGACTTGTAATGGATAACTTATCCATCTGATAATTATAAAACAATGCATTTTATTGTGTACCTTTTTATGAATTTTGTAATTGATGAATAAATATTTCGCTGAAAGCTATGTTCATGCGATTTTTATTTTAGCAAAATTAGTCGCGAATATTTTTATACTTTATACTTGTCGTGTCGAGCTAAGTGCTCGTGGAAAATCAATAATACTGAAAAGTAACACTGATCGACGGGCTAAGTACATCATAGCTCCGTACAAATAGTATGTTAAGAGCTGCGTGATATATTTTTTCCAGGAATCAATTTAATAGGGTACAAAAATGACATGCGATGCAGGCACGTGCTTGTACGCTCTCTCCCACGTATTTTATTTCTTTTAATCGATACAACTCGAAACCCGCAACATACACCACGTTACCGTATATAATATTTCTAAAAAATTACGAAACGAAACGGAACGAGATATTCACGCTTCGATAAAATCAAAAAATTCAGACCTTACTTTATTGAAAATACTGTTCATTACCATATATAATAAGCTAAGATTAAGCTATTAGGTTCATTTTTATATAAGCAAAAATAAAATAATAAAATTTTTAATATTAATTTTTTCAAAATTAAGAAAAATAATAATGACATTATTATTATATATATTAGTTATATATATTAGTTAATATTATAATCTTGTCTAATATTATTTATTATTTAATTAACAAATCAATAAAATTTAATATCATATTGCTATACATTATTTTTCTTTCTATACTACTGTTAGATAATTTTATACTGAAGTGAGTAATTTATGAATTCTCAATAATTCTAACGGTAAGGATTTTGAATATTATAAAAAATTCTACTAAAATAGTTAGAATTATTTATT